GGCCAGCTCCGGGGTCTCGGTCCCGCCGCGCAGCCCCGCCCGCGCCTCAGTCGTCCAGATGCTGCTCCTCCCAGGTGGACGTGGGGATGGCGCTGTAAGGGTCCATGATGACCTTGGCGCAGCGGATGATCATCACGACGAGGAAGAGGCAGAGGAAGACGAAGCAGGCCAACGTCAGTCCCTTGTCCACATCGACGTAGACGGGCTCAGGCGTGGGCTCCTCCATCTCGCGGCAGCGGCTGCGGGCTCCTCCTCCGGCTCAGGGTTGACTGGTACCATCTTCCACCCCTGCAGAGAGCGAGGGCAGCGGGGAGGGGAGGGTCGTGCCCACGTGCTTGGGGTCGGGGCAGAGCACAACCCCTCCCCCTTCTTATATGCTTCCCGCTCCGCCCCCCGGAATGGGAGCTTGCAGCCTCCCCCCAACCCTCCCGCATGAAGGGGAGGGGAGGACGGACACGTTCCTCCCTTTCCGGCACCCACGTGATCTCAGCTCTGAACCCTGTAGGTGATGAGGTTTCTAACAGGGTCCAGGCAGGATCGGGGAGGGATGAGGGGTTGGGGGGCGCAGCGTCGGGGAGGGTGGGGAGGGACAGAGGAGCTCCAGCAGGGGATAGCGCTGGGGTATAGCCGAGGGGCCTCTTGGGGTCCCCACTACCTGAAACCCTTTAGGAAGGAAGTTAGAACAATGCTTTCAACTCTGCCAGGCCGCCTGCCGAGGGTGGTCAGAAAGAATTTTTTTAAATTAGGTAATTAATATATTTTTAAAGCAGTAAAACTTCTATTTCAAATGCAAACGAGTGTTGAACACCAGTATATGAATAGATGGAAGAGGAGCTGCTGTCCCGGAGCGGGTGGGAGGCTGGAGGGTCTGCATCCGTCCTCGGCTACGGGGCCTCATGCAACTCTTGGGGGACTTCCGCTGGACCCCAGCGAGGCAGTTGGAAAACAGCGGGTGTGATGGGAAGAAGAGTTTTGGCAGTCAGGGGACCCCCATCACAGCTCTGCCACTGCCTTGCCAGGCAGTGTCAGATTATCCAGCTGTGCCTACACCTCCCGCTGTGATGGGTGTGAGGATTCAGTGCAGTCCAGCACATCCCCGGCCGGTGGGTGACCAGTAGATCCCCTGATTGAAGCAGGGCTCCCCAGAGCAGGCAGGTCAGGTCCCTATAGCCCAGCCGTCAGGGAGAGCGTGAGGACAAAGGGCCCGGCTGCTCCCTCTCTCCATAGCTGACAATCCTCCCCATCATTCCGCCTGAATTTTCAGAGCACTTGAGCTGTATGTCATACCATCACATCCAGTTTATTGTCTGATGCTCACAACAGCGCTGGAGGCAAGTTAGCTGGGTATCAATATACCCATTTTATAGTGGAAACTGAGGCACAGAAAGGGGAAATGACTTACCCAAGGTCCCGCATCTCAAACCCTAGGCTTCTGCACAGCCCCCTGCTCCGGTGGAAGGCCAAGCAGGGATTATCTTCCCCCAACCCTTGCAGCTTCAGGAGGGCACCTGGCAAGCTTTGGGATGGCGGGTCCTGGCAAATCGGTAACCACAGTCGACTGCGCTTTCCCCTCCCTCAGACCTTGTCTCCCTCCTCGTCCTGTCCTGGAGAGCACTGACCTGCTGGTCGGAGTGGTCACCACTTCGTAAGGGCCACTGGGTGGGCTGGCACCGTGGGTGAGGCTGTTCCAGGCGGGAGGGAGGAGTGACCGGACGTCCGAGCTGGGAGCCTGTGAGAGCAGTGGCCTCTCACTCAGAGAACAGGTACCCACACTGGCGGCAGCTGAAACAGAACAGGACAGAAGAAGGCTGGTAACTTCCCAAGACGCCCAGCCCCGGCCACGAGCAGGGCTGGCAGGAAGGTAGGGCCTAGTGGTGGGACCTGCCACACTGTTCTGATGCTGTTTTTCCTTTCCTTCCTTTTAACGTTTTTTTTTTTAATTTGGTAAAATATACATAACATAAAATTTACCACAGTGACCATGGCTAAGCGCACAGCTCAGTGGCATGAAGGACATTCACACCACCGTAGAACTATCACCACCCTCCACCTCCAGGACGCTTTTCATCTTGCAAAACTGAGGCTCTGTGCCCATTAAACAGCAACTCCCTGCTCCCCTTCCCCACAGCCCCTGGCATCCACCACTCTGGGTCTGTCCCTGTGAACCTGATTGCTCCAGGTACCTCATGTAGGTGGGATGGTACAGTATTTGTTTCTGTGACTGGCTTATTTCACTTAGGGTAATGTCCTAAATGAATGTCAGAATTTCCTTTACTTTTAATGCTGAAAGAATATTCTATTGTATGAATATACCACATTTTGTTTACCCATTCATCCATTGATGGACACTTGGGTTGTTTTTACCTCTTGGCTATTGTGAAAAGTGCTGCTCTGAACATGGGGTGTACAAATCTCTTTGAGGCCCTGTTTCACTTCTTTTGGGTATATATCCACAAGTGGAAAGGCTGGATCAATGATAATTCTATTTTTTATTTTTTTGAGGATTAAATTGAACATTTTTGTATAAAATACGACTTATACACAGTTAAAAATTCAAGAAGTATAAGAAAACCAGGAAAAGCCATTTTCTAACTACTTCTGTCTCCCGCGATCTAGCTCACTTCCAGAGCGACAGCGGCTGTTACGTGGTCCTCGCACACCCCTCTCATCTGGAGGCATTCAACACACACACACTGTATCTGCATCTCTTTGCACAGCATTTGCATTTTATTGGGTATTATAAGGAATCTGGAGACGATTTAAAGTATATGGGAGGACACTGGTAGGTTGCATGCAAATACTATGCCATTTTACGTAAGGTAATCGAGCATCTGTGGATTTCGGTTTCTGTGGGGCGTCCTGGAACCTATTCCCTGCGGACACTGAGGGACATGTTTGCTTTGTCTCTTCTTTTTTTCAGAAATATATCCTTCTATTGTAACTACTGGCACATAAAGAACCACTTCCTCTCACCCTGTCCTGTGGTAACAGCATCCTGAGTGTGTTATGCGTCTCCCATTCTGGGCACCTACGGAACTTCTAGGGTTCCTCGGACCGTACTTTAAGGACACTGATCTAGTTCAGCTTTCTCAGTTTCATAGATGAGACTGGAATTTAGGGAGAAGGAGGGGTTTTCCCAGCGTCTCAGAGCAATGGCATAGCTGACCTTGGGGCAAACTCACATTTCTGCCCCCAGGCAGGCCTGTGCCTTGGGCCCTGTGCACTGATTCCACATGGTCATTAGTTGGTCAGGGACGGATGAATGTGGTGGTGTTTCGTGCTCTCGTGTAACCTGGCAGGACTCAGTCTGGCCTCCCAAACAGACTCTGCCATCCCCAGCCCAGAATCCGCCTTCACTTAATACCAGACACCCTGCACAGATGGTAGAAGCCGGACCTCAGAGAGATTGTCTCGTGACCGTCCCTGTCTTGTCTGGGGCCAGGACTGGGCCCTATAACGTGGCAACCTGCCCCAGAGGAAGATTATCAGCATTTTCTGATCCTTCCAGCTGGGATGAATGCCAAGGAAGTGGGTGCAAAGAACAGATTCTCCTTTCCAGATGGAGTACGCTCATTAACCTTAATTACCAGGCAGGCACAAGTCCCATCCTGCTCTGTTTCTCAGTGAGGACATGACACCCAGGAGGGACGTGACACTGAGCTCTGCAGCCGTTCCCAGGGAGCAGAGGGGCTGGCCTTCCCAGGGGCCAGCTCAGTGGCCCCCAACATAATTGAACTGTCCTTCAGCATTGAGTCTGCACAAGCCAAATGTCACTTTCTTGGGGCAGCTGGAGGTGAACTTGCTTCAGGGTCAGGAATTCTGATCTGGGTGAGTGAATGACCTCCAGGGAAACGGCTGCTGGGCTGACCCTGCGCCCTGGTCAGAGCGAGCAGTTTTAGGGTTGGGGGGCGGGGTAGCAGATCCAGATGGAAAAGGGTCCTGCCAAATGCCATGGGAAAGCCACGGGACAAAGCCAACAGTTCGAAATGGGCCCTAGAAATAAGTATCTCAGTCAGGCTTTTAGGAAAAGACAAGCAATAGGGCGGTCACAGTTCAAAAGTTACGCAAATGCAGGGCTTAGGTACACATGCGTGCGGCACCCAGGACTCGGGTGGGGGCGCTCAGGTCCTCGCTTTCTGTGCTGAGTTGTTTTTTTTTTTAACATTTTTTATTGATTTATTGTGCTGAGTTATTTTTATTTCTGTGCATATGTGTGTCTTAGTCCGCTAGGGGGATTGCCATGGGAAAATACTGCAAATTGGGTGATTTAAACAACAAACATTCATTTTCTCACAACTGTGGAGGCTAGACGTCCCAGATCAAGATCTGGCAGGGTTGGTTTTCGGGGAGGACTTGCCCCCTGGCTTGCAGCCAAGCCTCCTCCATCCTGTGTCCTCACACGGCCTTCCCTCAATGCATGTGTGCGAGAAGAGGGATCTCTCTGCCTCTTCTTATCAGTCCACCAAGCCTTTCAGATTAAGACCCCCCATTCATGGCCCCATTTGACCATAACTAAATGCCCTATCTCCAAACACAATCACATCGGGGGTCAGGGCTTCAATATATGAATTTTGGGAAGACATAATTCAGTCCGCAGCAATGTGCCAGTTCCTCGAGGGCAAGGGCCAAGGCTGATTGAGGGGCACTGCCAATCTGGAGCCAGGCCAGGCTCACAGTGAACCACAGAGAAGGTGCAAACCAGCACTTGACTGCTGCCCTCCAGACACCAATGGTGAGAAGGCAAGGGGACCGAGAAAGCACGAGCCTTATTGCTGTGGGGATAAGCAACGGGCGTAGCGACATTGTGAATTCACTCAGTATCAAAGATCAGAGCTGATCACGCGCAGAAACCCGCTGGTTCCATACACAGCAGCGGAGCCGTTAGACAAGGTGACCTGCCAGAATCCCTTCCCCAGAAGACAGATGGGTTAAGTGGATGACATTTGCCCGGGACAGAGAAGATGTCCAGTGTCAGAACCCGACACCAATTACAACGTCCTGTGGGACTGCACTTGGTGGCCTCACTCCTCAATTGAGAGCAACTAACAGGCTTGTCAGAGGGAGATGATGAGTGTGTGTTAAGAGGTGGTTAAGACCAGAATCACCAGCAGGGCTGGAGGGATGCACGGAGGGGGTGAGATTAATGGAATACTGTGGTTAGAACTTGTTATCGTCTAATATTTAAACATTTCTAACCTCTAAGAAACCTTCCAGAGAAAGGAAGCAGTGTGAAGCAGCACCATTTTAGATGAAAGAGAAGAGACTGTCTCTGCCAAGAGAATGCAGCATCATGGGAGCACACCTCTGTAAGCCATCGCACCAGCTCTGCTGCACCATTTTTATAATACGATGCTGGCGCTGTTGGTCTCACTCAGATCTCCTATTCCCTTAACTATTCGGTGGGCACATGCCCCAGCCTCTGCATGTTTTGATCCCAAGAGCTCACAACTACAGTTCCTTAGAAGATTGCCCTTGGGCTCCTATAGTTGCTTCCCCTATGCATGCAGGGAGTTGGAAGTGTTTAGAAGTTCATGTCAAGGACTCTTAGCCTACCCAGGTTGCAAAAGATGCTAAAATTAGGAGATTCACTGCCAGGAAAGCATGTTCGGGACAGAAGGCCAAAGGTGGGACTGGCAACCTTTCGCTAGTGCTGAAGAGATTACATGTGCCACTCAGCCATTTGGGCAGAAACCAGGAATAGAAATGAGGTTATCCAGGAAAGATCTTCGGAGGACTCTCTCTAATGCAGTGAATCCCTGTGACATACATGGGTAATGCACTAACGTTTGGGGAATGTTATATTAGAAACACTGCCAGCCGGAACTGAAAGGGACAGGGACAAGATAAAATGAAAGAAGTCTGTTGGACTATAAAAGTTCTACAGGTAGAAACAGTCTGATAAACTAATCAGCTACAAATGTGTACTAGCCTTCAAGAAAGTTTAAGATTGATTCTGAGAGGAAGAGCTTTGGCTCAGAGGGGCAGAGCTGTGTGGAGCCTTGAGCCTCAGATTATTTCTAGACCTTGAAAACTAATGAAGTTTTCCCAGTTGGATTTTTTTCCTAAGTTTTTTTGAGGGGGAGATAATTAGGTTCATTTATTTATTTTTTCAAAGAGGTACTGGGGATTGAACCCAGGACCTTGTGCATGCTAGGCATGCACTCTACCACTTGAGCTACATCCTCCCTGCCCATCTCAGTTGGATTTTGAAATTACTTGGGACTGGTGGCTCCCTTCTGCCTTTCATTTTTTTTTTCTCTTTTGAAATAGAAATTTATAGAACTATTGACCTATGCCTGTCCCACCACTGTATTTTTGGAGCAGATAACTTGTCTTCCAGGCCCAGAGATGGACTTCTACCCCAGCGTGGATCATATGTGGAGTCTCACCTATCCCTAATTTAAATAATTTAGATGGTGAGATTTTGGACTTTAAGTTGATGCTATAATGAGTTGAGACTTGGGGATGTTGGAATGGGGTGAATTTACATAGGATAAAGATGAATCTTTGGAGGCCAAATAGTGGATTTCAGTTGATTTAATAACACCTCCTCAAGAAGTCCTCAGATGGATCTTTGGACCCCATGAATGCTACATGGCAAAGGGAGTTTTGCAGATGTGATTAAGTTAAAGATCTTGAGATGGAAAGATTATCTTGGGTTCTCCGGTTGAGTCATAAATGTAATCATGAATGTCCCAGAAGAATAAGGACAGAGGGAGATTTGACTATAGTGGAGCAGGGAATGTGACCACAGAAACAGAGACTGGAGTGCTGAGGCCAGCAGCCAAGGAATTCTGGAAGCCTCTATAAGTGAAAGGGGCAAGGAATGAATTCTTCCCTGGAGCCTCCAGAAGGACCCAGCCTTGCTGAAAGCTTGATTTTAGCACCTTACCATTCATTTTGGACCTCTGACCTCCAGAACTGTAAGAGAACACATTTCTGTTGTTCT